GGACCTATAGATTCATGGGAAGGACCTATAGATCTATGAGAAGGACCTATAGATCTATGAGAAGGACATATAGATCTATGAGAAGGACCTATAGATCTATGAGAAGGACCTATAGATCTATGAGAAGGACCTATAGATTCATGGGATGGACCTATAGATCTGTGGGAAGGACCCATAGATTCATGGGAAGGACCTATAGATCTATGAGAAGGACCTATAGATCTATGAGAAGGACCTATAGATCTATGAGAAGGACATATAGATCGATGAGAAGGACCTATAGATCTATGGGAAGGACATATAGATCTATGAAAAGGACATATAGATCTATGAGAAGAACCTATAGATTCATGGGAAGGACCTATAGATCTATGAGAAGGACCTATAGATTAATGGGAAGGACCTATAGATCTATGAGAAGGACCTATAGATTCATGGGAAGGACCTATAGATCTATGAGAAGGACCTATAGATTCACGGGAAGGACCTATAGATCTATGGAAAGGACTTATAGATCTATGAGAAGGACATATAGATCTATGAGAAGGACCTATAGATTCATGGGAAGGACCTATAGATCTATGGGAAGGACCTATAGATCTATGAGAAGGACCTATAGATCTATGAGAAGGACCTATAGATCTATGAGAAGGACCCATAGATTGTTTTACCTCTTTGGTGTATTTTTCGTCCAATGGTTTTTTCAAATTAAAATGGAAAATGGAATATCAATAAAATGGATTGATATTTTTGTTGTTGTGTAGCTGCAGATGCTGTTGTGTAGCTGCAGATGCTGTTATGTAGCTGCAGATTCTGTTGTGTAGCTGCAGATGCTGTTGTGTAGCTGCAGATGTTGTTGTGTAGCTGCAGATGTTGTTGTGTAGCTGCAGATGTTGTTGTGTAGCTGCAGATGTTGTTGTGTAGCTGCAGATGCTGTTGTGTAGCTGCAGATTCTGTTGTGTAGCTGCAGATGCTGTTGTGTAGCTGCAGATATTGTTGTGTAGCTGCAGATGTTGTTGTGTAGCTGCAGATGCTGTTGTGTAGCTGCAGATGTTGTTGTGTAGCTGCAGATGCTGTTGTGTAGCTGCAGATGCTGTTGTGTAGCTGCAGATGTTGTGTAGCTGCAGATGCTGTTGTGTAGCTGCAGATGCTGTTGTGTAGCTGCAGATGTTGTTGTGTAGCTGCAGATGCTGTTGTGTAGCTGCAGATGTTGTTGTGTAGCTGCAGATGCTGTTGTGTAGCTGCAGATGTTGTTGTCAGGGTTTATACTTTTCTTTAAAAATAAGGAAGTGGTCAACGGATTTTTAAAAATGCAGTCTTTGCATCTTTAAGTCTTGCTTCATCGACTGTTGCAGAAGTTTTGCAGTTTTGAGGATTTCTCTGATTTTCAAGACCCACAGAATATTGTGTGTATATTAAATGTGCTGCGACTTTGAGAAATATGAAAGTCTGAAAGACCAAACTGTCTTTCAGCAGCAAAAATAAGTTTGTTTGTGAAAACAGACGAACCTGCAGAAAAGTGATTGTTACACTTTTTAGTTTCACTTCTCCTCAAACTTCTCCAGGATCTTAGATGTTAGAAAACAGCAACAAGAAGTTATGAGAATGTGCTGTAGACTCACTGATGTCTGCTGCTGTAGACTCACTGATGTCTGCTGTTCTAGACTCACTGATGTCTGCTGCTGTAGACTCACTGATGTCTGCTGTTCTAGACTCACTGATGTCTGCTGTTCTAGACTCACTGATGTCTGCTGCTGTAGACTCACTGATGTCTGCTGTTCTAGACTCACTGATGTCTGCTGTTCTAGACTCACTGATGTCTGCTGCTGTAGACTCACTGATGTCTGCTGTTGTAGACTCACTGATGTCTGCTGTTCTAGACTCACTGATGTCTGCTGTTGTAGACTCACTGATGTCTGCTGCTGTAGACTCACTGATGTCTGCTGTTCTAGACTCACTGATGTCTGCTGTTCTAGACTCACTGATGTCTGCTGTTCTAGACTCACTGATGTCTGCTGCTGTAGACTCACTGATGTCTGCTGTTCTAGACTCACTGATGTCTGCTGCTGTAGACTTACTGATGTCTGCTGCTGTAGACTCACTGATGTCTGCTGCTGTAGACTCACTGATGTCTGCTGCTGTAGACTCACTGATGTCTGCTGCTGTAGACTCACTGATGTCTGCTGCTGTAGACTCACTGATGTCTGCTGCTGTAGACTCACTGATGTCTGCTGCTGTAGACTCACTGATGTCTGCTGCTGTAGACTCACTGATGTCTGCTGCTGTAGACTTACTGATGTCTGCTGCTGTAGACTCACTGATGTCTGCTGCTGTAGACTCACTGATGTCTGCTGCTGTAGACTTACTGATGTCTGCTGCTGTAGACTCACTGATGTCTGCTGCTGTAGACTCACTGATGTCTGCTGCTGTAGACTTACTGATGTCTGCTGCTGTAGACTCACTGATGTCTGCTGCTGTAGACTCACTGATGTCTGCTGTTCTAGACTCACTGATGTCTGCTGCTGTAGACTCACTGATGTCTGCTGTTGTAGACTCACTGATGTCTGCTGCTGTAGACTCACTGATGTCTGCTGCTGTAGACTCACTGATGTCTGCTGCTGTAGACTCACTGATGTCTGCTGTTGTTGTACCAGTATTTGTCCATTAGGTGGCGCTATATTGATGTAAATGACACACAATACAAACGTCTACCTCTTACGTACATAGCCTTTTATGTCTGTGTTGTGTCCGTGTTGTGTCTGTGTTGTGTCTGTGTTGTGTCTGTGTTGTGTCTGTGTTGTGTCCGTGTTGTGTCTGTGTTGTGTCCGTGTTGTGTCCGTGTTGTGTCCGTGTTGTGTCTGTGTTGTGTCCGTGTTGTGTCTGTGTTGTGTCTGTGTTGTGTCCGTGTTGTGTCTGTGTTGTGTCCGTGTTGTGTCCGTGTTGTGTCCGTGTTGTGTCCGTGTTGTGTCCGTGTTGTGTCCGTGTTGTGTCCGTGTTGTGTCCGTGTTGTGTCCGTGTTGTGTCCGTGTTGTGTCCGTGTTGTGTCTGTGTTGTGTCCGTGTTGTGTCTGTATTGTGTCCGTGTTGTGTCCGTGTTGTGTCTGTGTTGTGTCTGTGTTGTGTCTGTGTTGTGTCTGTGTTGTGTCTGTGTTGTGTCCGTGTTGTGTCTGTGTTGTGTCTGTTGTTGTGTCCGTGTTGTGTCTGTGTTGTGTCTGTGTTGTGTCCGTGTTGTGTCTGTGTTGTGTCCGTGTTGTGTCCGTGTTGTGTCTGTGTTGTGTCCGTGTTGTGTCTGTGTTGTGTCTGTGTTGTGTCCGTGTTGTGTCTGTGTTGTGTCCGTGTTGTGTCCGTGTTGTGTCCGTGTTGTGTCCGTGTTGTGTCCGTGTTGTGTCTGTGTTGTGTCCGTGTTGTGTCCGTGTTGTGTCCGTGTTGTGTCTGTGTTGTGTCCGTGTGTTGTGTCCTGTGTTGTGTCCGTGTTGTGTCCGTGTTGTGTCTGTGTTGTGTCCGTGTTGTGTCCGTGTTGTGTCCGTGTTGTGTCCGTGTTGTGTCCGTGTTGTGTCTGTGTTGTGTCCGTGTTGTGTCTGTGTTGTGTCCGTGTTGTGTCCGTGTTGTGTCCGTGTTGTGTCCGTGTTGTGTCCGTGTTGTGTCCGTGTTGTGTCCGTGTTGTGTCCGTGTTGTGTCTGTGTTGTGTCTGTGTTGTGTCTGTGTTGTGTCCGTGTTGTGTCCGTGTTGTGTCTGTGTTGTGTCTGTGTTGTGTCTGTGTTGTGTCTGTGTTGTGTCCGTGTTGTGTCCGTGGTGTGTCTGTGTTGTGTCCGTGTTGTGTCCGTGTTGTGTCTGTGTTGTGTCCGTGTTGTGTCTGTGTTGTGTCTGTGTTGTGTCCGTGTTGTGTCTGTGTTGTGTCCGTGTTGTGTCCGTGTTGTGTCCGTGTTGTGTCCGTGTTGTGTCCGTGTTGTGTCTGTGTTGTGTCCGTGTTGTGTCCGTGTTGTGTCCGTGTTGTGTCCGTGTTGTGTCCGTGTTGTGTCTGTGTTGTGTCCGTGTTGTGTCTGTGTTGTGTCCGTGTTGTGTCCGTGTTGTGTCCGTGTTGTGTCCGTGTTGTGTCTGTGTTGGGACCTTAACCCTCGCCGCACAGGGAGTCTGATCCAAGCTCTGCACGCCGTGTTGAAGAACCCTCCGATAAACACCAAGAACCAGAACGTCAAGGTGAGAACCAGACATCGGATTGATCTGAAATCGTTCAATTCAAGATTGTTTACACTACAACAGACAACAGGACATAGGGGCTTATATTTCTAACTTCTTACAATGATTTTCTTACTTACTTAATATTGAACTTCTGTCACACGTAGCTCCGCCCCTTCTGTTCAAAGCTCCTTTCTCAAATCTGTATTAGTATGACGTCATTGTGTGACTGTGACATCACACTCAGAGTAGTTTTCTGCCTTTGAAACAAAAGCATTGCCCAAGTATTAGTTTTGGTAATTTCTCTGGTGAAATTACATTCTGTATAACAGCATGGATGTGGTTGGAGCAGGAAAAAAAGATACTATAGGGATAGGGCTCCCTCTGGTGGTAGCATAGGGATAGGGCTCCCTCTGGTGTTAGCATAGGGATAGGGCTCCCTCTGGTGGTAGCATAGGGATAGGGCTCCCTCTGGTGGTAGCATAGGGATAGGGCTCCCTCTGGTGTTAGCATAGGGATAGGGCTCCCTCTGGTGTTAGCATAGGGATAGGGCTCCCTCTGGTGTTAGCATAGGGATAGGGCTCCCTCTGGTGGTAGCATAGGGATAGGGCTGCGTCTGGTGATGACATGGGTCGTGGCCAGGGGGGATTTAACCCATGAGTATTAGGTTCAGAGACCAATACTCATCAACTGAGCCACTGTCACCCCAGAATCCCTTATATTTCTTGATTACCCTGGTGTCTTCCGCAGGAGAGAGCACAGGGCCTGGTGCTGAAGGTACTGACCACCTTCAAGGGCAGTGACATCGAGAAGGCCGTGCAGTCTCTGGACCAAGGCGGACTGGATCTGCTCATGAAGTACATCTACAAAGGCTTCGAGAGGCCGAGCGAGAACAGCAGCGCCGTCCTGCTGCAGTGGCACGAGAAGGTAACTCCAGACGCAAGATCATTTAATTGTGTAGCGCCCTAAATCACAGCAGTCGTTCTCTTGGAGGACTTTACAAGCTACGGACTTGCCAGCACAGATCAGAGAATCAAACAGTGCAAACACAAGAAAGTGTGGAGAGTCCAGGATCATCAGCTCTGTCCTTAGACCCTCCTGCATCAGCAACGGACAACTCTAAAAACCCAGTGCAAATGAAAAACCTTGGGGAGGCCCACATCGAGATAGAGGTTCCCTGTCTCACCTGACAGAGAACCTACAGCTTTCATTAAGGTCACATTTTGTGGGGATTTTAGTGGCCCTTGTCATCCTGAACCTTTTTTCTAGTTAAATCCTTGCAGCTCTGATTGGTCAGTGCGCGGCCGAGCCCCTCTGTGGGGTTGGGTTTTCTCATGAGTTTTTCCTTGTCGATGCAGGAGGGTCTGTTGGACATTTAGTGTCCAACTAGAAGGACTGTGATGATCAGGACACTTTAACATTCTACAACATGTATGGACATTTATCAACATGTGTTCTATATTCTTTATGTGTTTTAACTGTTGATTCTCTGATCTGTGTTGGTGATTTCAATGGTTTTGTTAAGTTTCTGTTGTGATTTAGGGCTATACAAGAATACATTGTGTTGCACTGTATTGTATCGTGAACGTGCATGAGAGCCACACACTCATGCTCTTTTGCATTTAGCACAAAGCATCATGGGAGCTCGTCTGCGCAAAACTGGGAGGACCAGAGAAATGCCCAAATATGGGCAGGCTCCACTAATCTTTCCCATGTTCGCTTCATGCACCTGAACCAAGCCCCGGCGATCCAAGATGGCGCCCTATTCAAATGAATGGTTGTGCTCAGTGGCGCTTTGTGACGGCATGGGGGCTGAAAGATTAGCGGAAGTCGCCGGAAACTCGCAAAGATCTATGGGAAACTCTCAAAGATCTTTGGGAAACTCTCCTGTATTTGGGCATCGTCTGGTCCTCCCGGTTCTGTGCAGTGGATGATCTCCCATAATGCATTGCGTGTGTGGGTCTCACACCGGGTCTCACGCACGTGCACAGAGGGGCTCGGCCGCGCTCTGACCAATCAAAGCAGTTCATTAGAGCGGGAGTTAGAGCGAGAGCCAGACGAGCAGAGTTTGTGGCACTAAAGTGTGGATTTAAACAAAACCGAAGGATTTAAGAAGAAAAAAAGTTCAGGACGACAAGGGACACTAAAATCCCCACATAATGCAATCTTTATGAAAGCTGTAGGTTCTCTGTCAGGTTCTCTGTCAGGTTCTCTGTCAGGTCCTCTGTCAGGTTCTCTGTCAGCTGAGGTTGAGCTGTTTTAATATGTATTGAGTCCTATGGGGAAGATCTGGTTCAGTCTGCAGTACCGCGAGAATCCCCTGAGCACATGAGTTATTCAGCTTCAAGCTAGTAATACCCTATCCAGTTAATATAATACATCCATGACCTGAACACAAGCCATTGATTTGAATACGCCGCCATCTTGAATCGCCGGAGCTGGGATAGGGCTCCCTCTGGTGGTTGCATAGGGATAGTGCAATTTTATACCTTTCATACTTATTTCACCACAGACTTTCTGTTGAAGATATGATATCGTTTTACTTTTAAAAACATGAAATGACAACGTAAATAGTCTCATTTTCATTTGTCCAACATAAATGCATGTCTTAAGTTTCAAACGCAGCACAATGACTGCCTCCTCTACCCTCGCAGGCGTTGGCGGTGGGAGGAGTGGGCAGCATCGTCAGGGTCCTCACCGCCAGAAAAACTGTCTGATCTCCAAACGGTGACATCACAGACACGGCCACAGAACCACACTTTTACACTCAGAGGATTGTGTGTCGTGTGACTGCAGTATTTTTACATTTCTCACTAACTTCCAGTGTTCATTTCCTTGTTTCTGAAGCTGAGCAATGAGCTGCTTCATAACTTTGTATAAATATGTATTTTACTATGAATCTGCTTTTTTAACTGATAATGAGGACGTGTCGCTATTTTAAAAGCCTTTATGCAATTTTTAACAATGACTGAATATTGGTGCTGTAACCGTGGTTTCTGTGCAGCAAAAATACATTATTAGGGATGTTCGATTCTACTGAAGTGGGTTGAAAATCTGACTACAGGGCTCTGACCACAGGGCTCTGACCACAGGGCTCTGACCACAGGGCTCTGATCACAGGGCTCTGACCACAGGGCTCTGACTACAGGGCTCTGACCACAGGGCTCTGATCACAGGGCTCTGACCACAGGGCTCTGACCACAGGGCTCTGACCACAAGGCTCTGACCACAGGGCTCTGACCACAGGGCTCTGACTACAGGGCTCTGACCACAGGGCTCTGATCACAGGGCTCTGACCACAGGGCTCTGACCACAGGGCTCTGACCACAGGGCTCTGACCACAGGGCTCTGACCACAGGGCTCTGACTACAGGGCTCTGACCACAGGGCTCTGATCACAGGGCTCTGACCACAGGGCTCTGACCACAGGGCTCTGACCACAGGGCTCTGACTACAGGGCTCTGACTACAGGGCTCTGACTACAGGGCTCTGACCACAGGGCTCTGACCACAGGGCTCTGACCACAGGGCTCTGACCACAGGGCTCTGACTACAGGGCTCTGACCACAGGGCTCTGATCACAGGGCTCTGACCACAGGGCTCTGACTACAGGGCTCTGACTACAGGGCTCTGACTACAGGGCTCTGACCACAGGGCTCTGATCACAGGGCTCTGACCACAGGGCTCTGATCACAGGGCTCTGACCACAGGGCTCTGACCACAGGGCTCTGACCACAGGGCTCTGACCACAGGGCTCTGATCACAGGGCTCTGATCACAGGGCTCTGACCACAGGGCTCTGACCACAGGGCTCTGACTACAGGGCTCTGACTACAGGGCTTTTTAGGTGTACCCAGAAAGAATATTACCAAATGCTTTTGTATGGTGTCTTCTCACCTCTTGTAAACGTCATCACAGGAAGGTCCAAAAGTGGTTCTTGGTCCTGTTCGTTCCAGATGCTGTCGATGTCGTGGGGAGTATATTTTTTTGGACGAGTCTAGTTTAGTCGCTGTGGACTTCAGAAGGCATTCGTTAAATGAATGGGGCTCGTGCAGCTAAGACATGCGCAAATGCGTTTTTTCACCTTTTCCAGCCCCCGCGGCCATTTTGAAAAAGCCCATAGAAACCGAAAATGATGTCACATTAGTTTCAACGGTGGAGATAGGCGCGACTACATCTGTTAATATCTAAAGTCTATTTGTGTGCCCTTCTTAGAGTGACCCTCAATAAACAACATTATATATAAACTATTTGTGTGCTAACAAATAAAACAATTCTTTCCATTGTCACTGCTTTAAAGAAGGGTTGACCCCAAAACATGTAAAAACATGTGAATAATGAGCTGTAAGTTTGTCATATCTGTCCAACACAAAACCTGCTTTAGTTGATAATAAGGATAAAGATGAAATATGATAGAACAGAACGACAGACAACGTATAGTAATAAAAGTAATGATAATGATAATAATCTTTATTCCGGACCAAAGACTGTAAATAATAACGGTCGTGGTCACGCCGTTCTAACCTATGGGCCACAACTTCCGTGATCTATCGGCAGTTTCAAAATGGCCGTGCTGGAAAATGTGAAAAAACACATCTGTGCATGCGTCAGCTGCACGAGCTCCATTCATTTAATGAGAGACTTCTAAAGTCCACAGCGACTAAACTAGACTGGTCCAGAACACTCAGCATTGACACACATGTGGAACGGAGCTTTGGGCCAAGAGACAACTTTTGGACCATCCTGTAAAGACGTTATCCAGAGGTAAGAAGATGCTATATGTTAGCATTGGCTAATTCTTAATCGGGGTCCACCCCCACAGGCCCGGGGTGGTACTGCAGCATGTCAGCGCACGTCATTTTTGCCCACTGTTCCGGACTGAAGGTTCATACAAACGACAACACAGGACACAGAGAAGTCTAATGAGTCATTTAGTGCCAGTGTTTCCAGAACTGAGGTAAACAGCGCGTTGCACTGAACTCTACATTCACCAATAATACTTTACCACAACTTTATTCTCAGACTCGATCAGCGAATAAAACTGAACATAGCATTTCTCAGGACAGACTTCGGTTCCCTCTGGTTCTCACCTGATTCTGGGCTTTTTTAATAACACCCTCAGAGCGTCAGTGAATCTGCAGGTTCTAGCTTTTGTACAGTTCAGCCACAGATGTGCAGTGTATAAAGCTTCGGTCTTTGATTAAATCAGGTCTTTTAATATCTTACATTTATCAATATAATGTGTTTCAGTGACAAATAAATCGTTTTAGTTTGGCTCATGTGTAATTCATGCAGACTTGGCTTTAGAATCTGGTTTGAGAGTCTCAGCCTTCACATTTCGTACTGGATCTGCTGCCTCTGAGAGCTCTGGTCCCACGGGTCTCCAGAGTGAAAATGGCTTTTGTCAATCCATTCAATGTTGTGGTGTATTTTTGCAAATGTAACTGAATAAGTGAAGGAAAGTCATTGCTTTTCTGTAGAATGTGTTCACGGTTACACTGACTTTTGGATTATTATTGTTATTGCCGCCAACGCTCTGAGCTCACTCCTTTACCTCAGCAACAACATCAACAATATACTGCAAATATACTAACATGAGACAAAACAGATATTTTTATTTTTTAACTTTTGCTAAATGTTTGATTTTTGTAATTCTTTTCCAGTGTGTCGTGAGTAGATTGAGACGATCTAATGCTGTGTTTCATTTTGAATTGTAAAAGGTCATATTCATTGATCACCTGCACAAAGCCTGGACGGCCGCACCAGGAAGTAGAATACATGTGTGTTGCCAAATAAGGACGTCATGAAGGAATGTGGTGAAACTAACTATTGTGAAACTGTTGAAGAATAAATAACACGTTTATTTCGACATTTCTTGTGTAAATATTCTCTTTATAGATAGTGTATGGTCAAAAGTGTATAATGAATGTGAAGATTTAATGATTAGAATAAATTAAATAATAGCCGTTTTTGATGATTTCACTGATTGTCAAGGCCCACAGAATATTATGTGCTATGACTATGTGGAAGCTTGAAACCAGATTCTGAAAGACTGGATTGTCTACTTTCATCAGCAAAAATAAGTTGGTTTCTAGATATTTTTTTCTCCCTTAATCCCCAGTCGAAAAGAGGGAAGTTTTTCAGGAAATTCCATCAATGGCAGTTAATGAGTTAAAATGAAGTATTACATGCCATGGAAGCCCTCGATGTTTTCTTACCATCAACGCTGCAAGTTCAAAATGCCAAATTCCACGACAAATGGCACTTCTGGACCTCCTGATCAAGAGTAATCTAAATAATTGTCCATCTGCTGATAGAAGTGGGAGATTGCATTCTGCTGTTTTAGTAAATATCTAACATGGTGCGGTCTAACGCTGAGACGCCACCATAGTTTTGAAGCCTTATTTTGTAGAAACCGGCTTTGTAAATGTATCTTTCCACAAGAAGCTGAAGACGAATCCAGTTCAGTTCAGAGCAGTGTAATGTCATGGAGCGACCAGCAGAGGCAGCGAGGAGCACCACCTTCATCAGGACTTCAATATTCAATCATTCTAATTCACAAAATCCCAGTCACTCCTAACTCTTTTACATACATAATACGCTTTTTTTCACTTCATACACAGATTTTAAAGAGATTCTACACCTGATCAATCAATCATCACTTATTTGTATAGCACCATTTGTGTACAAGGGGGATGTACACTTTTGCAACCCTTATGTTTCATCCAGTTCATGGTTTAAATCTTTTCCCTGTGTGGAAAAGGCTGCGTCCTGAGTGTGGCGTCCCCCAAGGGTCGACCCTGGGCCCCTTTTTCATTTCTCACTTAAACACAGAGGTTTTTAGCCCAATAATAAACACAACATTATCTTTTTATCAACAAATTAACTTTGCAAAATATATAAACTGAATTAGATTATGATAACGACAATATGAAGTTGACAAATAGCTTCTTTTTGATTCTCTGATCTGTTGAGAAATGGACAACTTTGTGAAGACTTTCCGAGTCGACTACTGTTGTGATTTAGGGCTCTACAAAAATACATTGAATTGAATGAATGTATTGTGTTTTATAAAATCTGTTCTTGTTGTGATGTTGAAGGTGTTGAAGGTGATTGGTCTCTGATTTTATAACTGTTTACTTCTCAAATAAACTAAGGCCACAGATGAACTTTATATTACTTCATATTTTGATTCATGGATACATCAGAACTGTTTCAAAAGACTTGAGTGGAGGATTCAGGCACACAGAGACGGGATCGTGGCACACCAGAGCTCCTGGAAGTTTATTCAGTTTCCTTTAGGTTTCAGATGTTTCAGGTTTTTTCAGGTTTTTCAGACAGAACAAAGTCAGGACATGGTTTTTATAGTCATTTTTACGTCACAGATACGTCACACACAGAAAGGCACATGTGTCGCATCCAGAGACAATCAGAGCATTTCAGAGTCATAACATGGATACACAATCTGTGCCTTGTGACTGTGAGGGCCAGATGTTTTGTCTTGCGTTCGTCCACCTGCGTAGGCCATAGCTATCTATAACAGAAACAAAATACTGTAGCTGCTCCTGAAACTCATATCAAAACACAAAAGGTTCTTGTGTCTTTCCCAAGATTGATCAAAGACAAGCTCAATTGCCCCTATGTTTGTTATTAATGTGTGTGTGTGTGTGTTTGTGTGTGTGTGTCACCAGCTCCTTATGAATTCTCTGATGTATGTTGTGAACTTAATTAGAATCAATCCACACCATGACATTGAAAGTTCGCCACAGACGCAGAGACGCTGGCCGTGGTCCTGAAGTAGACGAGACTTTCCCTTCATCTGAATGTTGTTAATGCATCATGGATATTCTTATCTTCATCAGTGACGGAGAAGCAGAGGTTCACATGTGTTCATGAGTCCAACTGAACACTTGAACACTGAAGGGGAGAAACTGTACTTATGGCAGGAGGTTCTGGTTATCCATATCCGTGTTTACTTTTCAATCTGAGTACTGTAGGAGGCAGAGAGTGTTGGAGCAAAACTTCGTCCATGAGCTCTTCCCTATTGGGCCTCATTGACCTGACAGGTTAGCTTTGGTCATCTCTATGCAATCCATGTTATTATTGTCCATTTGTTTACAATCTGTGTTAGCATTGTCCATCTGTATACAGTCTGTGTTAGCATTGTCCATCTGTATACAGTCTGTGTTAGCATTAGCATCTGTATACAGTCTGTGTTAGCATTAGCATCTGTATACAGTCTGTGTTAGCATTAGCATCTGTATACAGTCTGTGTTAGCATTAGCATCTGTATACAGTCTGTGTTAGCATTAGCATCTGTATACAGTCTGTGTTATTATAGTCCATCTATAATATCTATATAATGTATCCCTGATCTGTATACAGTTTGTGGGCGTATACCAATGTCTTTATTGCCCAAGAGTCTTTTATTTTGGAGGCGCGTGGATGTGGGCGGGGCATAAAGCGGAAGTGAGACGCGGCAGTGCGTGGATAGCTTCTTTGCTAAAGCTAAAAACAGTTAGTGAAATGTGGAAGAGGCGCAGTTTACTGAGAGCTGCGGTGAATGAGCGGCTGGCGGCGGCTGCGGAGGAGATCTTTGCGCTGGTGGAGAGGACCATAGCGGAGTATGAGGAGGAGGTGTACCGGTGCAAAGCGGAGAGCCAGAGGAGGCAGCAGCTGGGCTCAGGTCAGACACAGGCCCCTCACTCTGACTCCTGAGACTGTTATTATAGTCAGAGTTTGGAGCCAGAGCATATGTTTCTGTTTCACTTCATTTATTGGAACATTTCAAGTAAATGTGCATTGCGCCACTTTGAGGATCTGTCTCCGCCTGTTGTTGTAGAGATGTATTATTATAGATCCATGGGTAAATACCTCCAAACCTGCAGCAGACCTCCACACCTGCAGGTGGAAGCCTGGTCCCAGGTCTCAGCAGGACCGGTCCTGGTCAGTACTACAGGGACTCTGAGGAGCACAGGGACTGAGTGACTGAACATGGGGAGGCCGCAAAGAGAAAAGGCACTGACTTAAAATATTAATGCTGTTTTATTAAAGGAACATGGCGACACGTTAAGGAAAGGGCAGCTTTCAAATGTTTGCAGCTAAATTATTCCTGAAAATATTTTCAATCCATGTTAAACACAGTTCTGTTTCACTGTTCATAAAAACTAAAAGATTGTATCTGTTATTTGTTTTATAATGAATGTACTCTGATACCTCCTCGACATGAGTGTCCTTAAACGCCTGCTCTTCTCTTTGGCAGGTGTTGGGATCCACTGGTTCAGTCCTGATCCCAGACTGATGCAAACAGTCCCAGAGACTCCGCAGATTAAAGAGGAACCATCCGAACTCTGCCTCGCCCGAGAGGAAGAGCTGCTCCCAGAGGTCAGTGCGGTGTGTGTGAAGACTGAAGAGGAACGTGAACAAAGAGACAGCACTGACACTGACAATGAGGAAGACTGGGAGCATCCCGCCGGCTGCTCTACGGTCCAGATGCAGACCGAGGCTGACGGGGGCCACGTCCACACACAAGACACCAATATAGCTGCACACAACTCTCATTTGTTTCGGCCTGGAGACCTGTCCGGGACCTGGCCCCAAGACCGAGGACCAGAAAGGAAATCTGAGTGCTCTGTTTGTAGGAAGAGATTTAAGACTAAACAAGATTTAACGAGACACTTGAGGCTTCATACAGGAGAGAGGCCTTACGTCTGTTCAGTTTGTGAGAAATCCTTTTCCCAAACACACAGTCTGAAAAGCCATATGAGATCTCACACGGGGGAGAAGACTCACAGCTGCCCAGTCTGCAACAAAACCTTTACTCAAAAAGCCACTTTAGATCAACATCTGCGAGTCCACACAGGAGAGCGACCCTACGGCTGCTCCGTGTGCATGAAAACATTCAATCGGAAAACCATTCTCGATCGACACATGAGGGTGCACACTGGAGAGCGACCTTACAGCTGCTCAGTTTGCACCAAAAGTTTTTCACAGAAGTGGAATCTCTTCATCCATGAGCGGCTACACGAGGAGAAGAAGCACGCTGCTATTTGATCCAACGGAATAATCATTTATTGACTAAAAAACATAGATCAAATGTTCAATTACATGTATTTTCTTACAGCCCTTACAGCAGTTATCTCAGAGGACTTTACAAAGTTATCGAATCAAACCGTTTAAAGACAGGAAATGCAATGATCCAAAAACACATGGAGCCGTTGGTCTGTAAGGAGCAGAGACCAAAGTCCAAACTTGTTTGTAGGGTTTTGTTTTGATTCTGCGACGGCCTTTTCTTTTGTCGACACTGTAACGTGGAACTGCCCTCCTCAGAACATGTTTGTTACTTCAGTGGATTTGTGTTCGTGTTCTGAGAGACACTTGTTTAAACGAATGACACACTTTAATTATGAAATGTTCTTTGTTGTAAATGTGATTTTCCCTGAAATGTGGGATGATTGTGGCCTTCAATGTTAATAAAACAATAAAACATTAATCTTTGTGTGCTTTGCTACCACCACACATCTGCAGTGGACCGGTTTGATGTATAATACATAAGACTACAACAACAATACATTCAAAAAGACAAACATATACACAATGCAGCCTAATTCTGCCCTCTGATTCTATAATCTGCTTGATAATCATAAACATGTAGTGGATTTTATCTCCATGGTATTTTTGATGAAGAATAACTAGAATATGATTTGATTTTGATTTGTACACATTGGGAACATACAATTTGAAAAACATCTTATTTATTGTCAAGTGCCCATTTCTGTGCTGTTGACAATTGCGGTCTGTGATTAAGATGACGAGCTCCTTTATTCGTCCCACAGTGGGGAACTTTCAGTGTTGCATCACCAGTTACAGAATATTAGTAGTGAGCACCCAGCACAAGATAAATGAACACAGCTCTATACTAAACTCTCTACTAAATAACTCTATACTAAATTAAAAAACATAAAATAAAATCTCTTGCTTTAGCATAATAAGGAACCCGTCTATAATCTATAATAAAAGCAAGAATTACAGTACAAGTACAACATCTCTGACTTTAGCATAACAAAGAAGCAAGTATAAATCCTGTATATTCTAGTGAAGAAATATATTGTTCTATTTTAACATGTTTTATTTGTATTCACAATCCCAAACACATGAATAGATATTTTATCGTTGTCAGTTCGTGTGCAGTACTCTTGGTGCCCTGCAGGGGTCGCTGTGAAGGGCAGTGGAAGCGCCCCGTCCTTGAGAGCCCCAGTCCCGCACAGCTGCAGCAGACATGGGCTACTGGAACGCTCCGGAGGGCACTGCGTGTGTGGAGAAGACATGGATCACCACCAAACTGGGCACGGCGATAGGTGAGAGGCAGCCCGGGGATAGGTGAGAGGCAGCCCGGGGACAGGGCGTGGGGAACGGCCGCTGTCAGAGAGTTACCCCGCGGTTGGATAGCGCTCATGCTAAAGCTAACAACAAGCAGACCAGGCTAATGCTAATGCTAACGTCAGACTGTTTACATGTTTTGTCCGACTTAGAAATGAGTGTAAATGTGGATGTATAAATTAGACTTATATTTTAATAAACGGTTTACTTGTGTAGGTCAAGGAAAGCTCCACAATTATCAATATTTACATTCACCTGTTCTGAAAATACACTTGTCAATGTACCTGCTGCTAATAATAATAATAATAATAATAATAATGCATCGGTTTTATATGGGGCTTTTCTGGACACTCAAAGAGGCTTCACTTCATTATTCATTCACTCCAAACACGGTGGTGATAAACTACTACAGTAGCCACAGCTGCCCTGGGGCACACTGACAGAAGCGAGGCAGCGAGTCTGTGCCATCGGCCCCTCCCACCACCACCAACCATTCACACACACACCAGACTCATTCTAACCGTCGTTTGGGACTTTACAGCCACAGCCGCCCCACTGTGGCACCTGCTGTTCCCAGAGGTCTCCCATCACAGCACTAACCAGACGCATTATTATTATATTATCTATTATTATTATATAGTAGATCTTGTTTGAGGTGTGCATAACCTGAGTTTTCTTATTTTCTTCTTTTATGCTGTAATGTGAGCAAATTTCCAATAAGAGACAAAAAAAAGTTTCTTATCTTCAATATATTATCAGTAGTTAGTCTGAAAATAATGCGGCTTGTGTAGAGTTATAAACTACAAAGATCTACGACGGAGAAGGATCCAAACGATAATAAACACTGAGTCACTCCATGTTCATGTTTTCAGGCCTGGTGGGGTCGGCGTATCACATCGTGGCCTTCCAACCTGAAACCACCATGGCCGCTCTGCAGAGGGCCACCACCGCCACCGTCACCATGGGTACGAGCACACACACATACACACTTACACACACACACACACACACACACACACACACACACACGCAATCATACACACACAGACACATGACATTAAAACGTGTTCAGGTTTTAACACATTCTTTATGGTCCTGTTCAAACGTCTGGCTCCAAAGATTAAACCTGAGAATGATTCAATGTTTAATCTGCACCAACACCAGAGGACCAGGTCTGAGGGAGGACCAGGTCTGAGGGAGGACCAGGTCTGAGGGAGGACCAGGTCTGAGGGAGGACCAGGTCTGAGGGAGGACCAGGTCTGAGGGAGGACCAGGTCTGAGGGAGGACCAGGTCTGAGGGAGGAACAGGTCTGAGGGAGGAACAGGTCTGAGGGAGGACCAGGTCTGAGGGAGGACCGGGTCTGAGGGAGGACCGGGTCTGAGGGAGGCCCGGGTCTGAGGGAGGCCCGGGTCTGAGGGAGGACCAGGTCTGAGGGAGGACCAGGTCTGAGGGAGGCTGAGGGAGGACCGGACCGGAGGGGAGGACCGGAGGGGAGGGGAGGACCGGAGGGGAGGGGAGGACCGGACTGGAGGGGGGGACCGGAGGGGAGGGGAGGACCGGAGGGGAGGACCGGACCGGACCGGAGGGGAGGGGAGGGGAGGGGAGGACCGGAGGGGAGGGGAGGGGAGGGGAGGACCGGACCGGAGGGGAGGGGGGAGGACCGGACCGGACCGGACCGGAGGGGAGGGGAGGACCGGACCGGACCGGAGGGGAGGGGAGGACCGGACCGGACCGGAGGGGAGGGGAGGACCGGACCGGACCGGAGGGGAGGGGAGGACCGGACCGGACCGGAGGGGAGGGGAGGACCGGACCGGACCGGAGGGGAGGGGAGGACCGGACCGGACCGGAGGGGAGGGGAGGACCGGACCGGACCGGAGGGGAGGGGAGGACCGGACCGGACCGGAGGGGAGGGGAGGACCGGACCGGAGGGGAGGACCGGACCGGACCGGAGGGGAGGACCGGACCGGACCGGAGGGGAGGGGACGGACGGAGGGGAGGACCGGACCCGGAGGGGAGGGGAGGGGAGGACCGGACCGGAGGGGAGGGGAGGACCGGACCGGAGGGGAGGGCCGGACCGGAGGGGAGGACCGGACCGGAGGGGAGGACCGGACCGGAGGGGAGGGGAGGGGAGGGAGGACCGGACCGGAGGGGAGGACCGGACCGGAGGGGAGGGGAGGACCGGACCGGAGGGGAGGGGAGGACCGGACCGGAGGGGAGGGGAGGACCGGACCGGAGGGGAGGGGGAGGGGAGGACCGGACCGGAGGGGAGGGGAGGACCGGACCGGAGGGGAGGGGAGGGGAGGACCGGACCGGACCGGAGGGGAGGGGAGGACCGGACCGGACCGGAGGGGAGGGGAGGACCGGACCGGAGGGGAGGGGAGGACCGGACCGGAGGGGAGGGGAGGACCGGACCGGAGGGGAGGGGAGGACCGGACCGGAGGGGAGGGGAGGACCGGACCGGAGGGGAGGGGAGGACCGGACCGGACCGGAGGGGAGGACCGGACCGGACCGGAGGGGAGGACCGGAGGGGAGGACCGGACCGGAGGGGAGGACCGGACCGGAGGGGAGGACCGGACCGGAGGGGAGGGGAGGACCGGACCGGAGGGGAGGGGAGGACCGGACCGGACCGGGAGGGGAGGACCGGACCGGAGGGGAGGGACCGGACCGGAGGGGAGGACCGGACCGGAGGGGAGGACCGGACCGGAGGGGAGGGAGGAGGGAGGGGACCGGACCGGACCGGAGGGGAGGGGAGGACCGGACCGGACCGGAGGGGAGGGGAGGACCGGACCGGACCGGAGGGGAGGGGAGGACCGGACCGGACCGGAGGGGAGGGGAGGACCGGACCGGACCGGAGGGGAGGGGAGGACCGGACCGGACCGGAGGGGAGGAGCCGGACCGGACCGGACCGGAGGGGAGGACCGGACCGGACCGGAGGGGAGGACCGGACCGGACCGGAGGGGAGGACCGGACCGGAGGGGAGGGGAGGGGAGGACCGGACCGGAGGGGAGGGGAGGACCGGACCGGAGGGGAGGGGAGGACCGGACCGGAGGGGAGGGGAGGACCGGACCGGAGGGGAGGGGAGGACCGGACCGGACCGGAGGGGAGGACCGGACCGGACCGGAGGGGAGGGGAGGGGAGGACCGGACCGGAGGGGAGGACCGGACCGGACCGGACCGGAGGGGAGGACCGGACCGGACCGGAGGGGAGGACCGGACCGGACCGGACCGGAGGGGGGAGGGGAGGGGAGGACCGGACCGGAGGGGAGGGGAGGACCGGACCGGACCGGAGGGGAGGGGAGGACCGGACCGGACCGGAGGGGAGGGGAGGACCGGACCGGAGGGGAGGGGAGGACCGGACCGGACCGGAGGGGAGGGGAGGACCGGACCGGAGGGGAGGGGAGGACCGGACCGGACCGGACCGGACCGGAGGGGAGGGGAGGACCGGACCGGAGGGGAGGGGAGGACCGGACCGGACCGGACCGGACCGGACCGGAGGGGAGGACCGGACCGGACCGGAGGGGAGGACCGGACCGGACCGGACCGGAGGGGAGGACCGGACCGGACCGGAGCGGAGGGGAGGACCGGACCGGACCGGAGGGGAGGGGAGGACCGGACCGGAGGGGAGGACCGGACCGGACCGGAGGGGAGGACCGGACCGGACCGAAGGGGAGGGGAGGACCGGACCGGAGGGGAGGGGAGGACCGGACCGGAGGGGAGGGGAGGACCGGACCGGAGGGGAGGGGAGGACCGGACCGGAGGGGAGGGGAGGACCGGACCGGACCGGACCGGAGGGGAGGGGAGGGGAGGACCGGACCGGGAGGGGAGGGGAGGACCGGAGGGGAGGGGAGGGGAGGACCGGACCGGAGGGGAGGGGAGGACCGGACCGGAGCGGAGGGGAGGACCGGACCGGAGGGGAGGACCGGACCGGACCGGACCGGACCGGAGGGGAGGACCGGACCGGACCGGAGGGGAGGGGAGGACCGGACCGGACCGGACCGGACCGGACCGGACCGGACCGGAGGGGAGGACCGGACCGGACCGAACCGGAGGGGAGGGGAAGACCGGACCGAACCGGAGGGGAGGGGAGGACCGGACCGGAGGGGAGGGGAGGACCGGAGGGGAGGGGAGGACCGGAGGGGAGGGGAGGGGAGGACCGGAGGGGAGGGGAGGACCGGACCGGAGGGGAGGGGAGGACCGGACCGGACCGGACCGGACCGGAGGGGAGGACCGGACCGGACCGGACCGGACCGGAGGGGAGGACCGGACCGGACCGGAGGGGAGGACCGGACCGGACCGGAGGGGGGACCGGACCGGACCGGACCGGACCGGAGGGGAGGACCGGACCGGACCGGACCGGAGGGGAGGACCGGACCGGACCGGACCGGACCGGACCGGAGGGGAGGACCGGACCGGACCGGACCGGACCGGACCGGACCGGAGGGGAGGACCGGACCGGACCGGAGGGGAGGACCGGACCGGAGGGGAGGGGAGGACCGGACCGGAGGGGAGGACCGGACCGGACCGGACCGGAGGGGAGGGGAGGACCGGACCGGACCGGACCGGAGGGGAGGGGAGGACCGGACCGGACCGGACCGGAGGGGAGGGGAGGACCGGACCGGACCGGAGGGGAGGGGAGGACCGGACCGGACCGGAGGGGAGGGGAGGGGAGGACCGGACCGGACCGGAGGGGAGGGGAGGACCGGAGGGGAGGGGAGGACCGGACCGGAGGGGAGGGGAGGACCGGACCGGAGGGGAGGGGAGGACCGGACCGGAGGGGAGGGGAGGACCGGACCGGACCGGAGGGGAGGACCGGACCGGACCGGAGGGGAGGACCGGACCGGAGGGGGAGGGGAGGACCGGACCGGAGGGGAGGGGAGGACCGGACCGGACCGGAGGGGAGGACCGGACCGGACCGGAGGGGAGGACCGGACCGGACCGGAGGGGAGGACCGGACCGGAGGGGAGGGGAGGACCGGACCGGACCGGAGGGGAGGACCGGACCGGACCGGAGGGGAGGACCGGACCGGACCGGAGGGGAGGACCGGACCGGAGGGGAGGGGAGGACCGGACCGGACCGGAGGGGAGGACCGGACCGGAGGGGAGGACCGGAGGGGAGGACCGGAGGGGAGGACCGGAGGGGATGGGAGGACCGGACCGGACCGGAGGGGAGGACCGGACCGGACCGGAGGGGAGGACCGGACCGGACCGGACCGGACCGGACCGGAGGGGAGGACCGGACCGGACCGGAGGGGAGGACCGGACCGGAGGGGAGGGGAGGACCGGACCGGAGGGGAGGGGAGGGGAGGACCGGACCGGAGGGGAGGGGAGGGGAGGACCGGACCGGAGGGGAGGGGAGGACCGGACCGGACCGGACCGGACCGGAGGGAGGGGAGGGGAGGACCGGACCGGAGGGGAGGGGAGGACCGGACCGGAGGACCGGACCGGAGGGGAGGGGAGGGGAGGACCGGACCGGAGGGGAGGGGAGGACCGGACCGGAGGACCGGACCGGAGGGGAGGGGAGGGGAGGACCGGACCGGAGGGGAGGGGAGGACCGGACCGGACCGGAGGGGAGGGGAGGACCGGACCGGACCGGAGGGGAGGGGAGGACCGGACCGGAGGGGAGGACCGGACCGGACCGGAGGGGAGGGGAGGACCGGAGGGGAGGACCGGAGGGGAGGGGAGGGGAGGACCGGACCGGAGGGGAGGACCGGAGGGGATGGGAGGACCGGACCGGACCGGAGGGGAGGACCGGACCGGACCGGAGGGGAGGACCGGAGGGGATGGGAGGACCGGACCGGACCGGAGGGGAGGACCGGACCGGACCGGAGGGGAGGACCGGACCGGACCGGACCGGAGGGGAGGGGAGGACCGGACCGGAGGGGAGGGGAGGACCGGACCGGAGGGGAGGGGAGGACCGGACCGGAGGGGAGGACCGGAGGGGAGGACCGGAGGGGGAGGGACGGGAGGGGAGGACCGGAGGGGAGGACCGGACCGGACCGGAGGGGAGGACCGGACCGGACCGGACCGGACCGGACCGGACTGAGGAGGACCAGAGGGGAGGACCAGGTTTGAGGGAGGACCAGGTTTGAGGGAGGACCAGGTCTGAGGGAGGACCAGAGGGGGGGGACCAGAGGGGAGGACCAGGTCTGAGGGAGGACCAGGTCTGAGGGAGGACCAGGTCTGAGGGAGGACCGGAGGGGGGGACCAGAGGGGGGACCAGAGGGGGGACCAGAGTCTGAGGGGGGACCAGAGTCTGAGGGAGGACCAGGTCTGAGGGAGGACCAGGTCTGAGGGAGGGACCAGAGGGGGGACCAGAGGGGAGGACCAGGTCTGAGGGAGGACCAGGTCTGAGGGAAGACCAGGTCTGAGGGAGGACCACTTTATTTGACCATAAACTTTGAGCCTTAAATGCAATGAGCCTAATTCAAAGTAAACTTTATTAAACCCATTTGTTGTTATTTGTTTTTGACAAAACAAAACCTTGTTGCATTTTGTCCACTTTCAATCCAAGCTGGACACGGAATTATAAAAGATGTAATATCAAACTTGTCAAAAAAGTAATGCTTTGGTCAAAACGCCGTTAAGATACATATGAGTAAATATGAAACTCCACAAACACTTGATCTGTTTGTTCTGATGTTTATATAATGGACCTGATGCTGGTGTGTAACCTCTCCTCTCTCTCCTCTCTCTCCTCTCTCTCCTCTCTTTCTCTCTCTCCTCTCTCTCCTCTCTCTCTCTCTCCTCTCTCTCCTCTCTCTCTCTCTCTCCTCTCTCTTTCTCTCTCTCCTCTCTCTCCTCTCTCTCTCTCTCCTCTCTCTCTCTCTCCTCTCTCTCCTCTCTCTCCTCTCTCTCTCTCTCCCTCCTCTCTCTCTCTCGACTCTCAACTCTCTCTCTCTCTCTCTCGGTCTCCTCTCTCTCTCCTCTCTCTCCTCTCTCTCCTCACTCTC